GTGTTTGTTATCAGTATTGGTTATGCATGGGACGGTTGGTTAAATAAAACACATGCATACAATTGCAGCATACACCGCGGATATACAAAGCTTAACTACCCATGTGCGAAATGGTATGTCCCCGTTATAACACTTATCTGCCTTTTTATCAAAAAAATGGTTTGTTCCTGTATGACGGAGAAAGTCGTGATGAGTCACGGTATACCAATGTCGGTATGGTTTCCAACAATACGCCATAAACTTATTAATGCAACAATACGGTCATGGCAATATTGGTTCTCAAAAATCGTTGATAACCACATACCGCGATGTGTCATTACCACCCACTATGCGGAGAAGCCTAAATGAAGACATCATCAAATTAAAGTACTACTTTCTCGTATCGTACATGTTTACGCTGTATTTACGATAATGTAACTTTACATAACAAGGGATACACACAACATTATACTAAATCACAATATTCATAATCGTAAACTTTTTTTTACAAACATTTTCTCGATATTATCAATTTCTTGGTATATTTTATATACGAACATTTGTTTTTATATATTTGTTTTTATTAATAATGACAGCGATGGTGGGATCGGATTGCTTAGGCCGCCTCCCCTGTCGTTAAAGGCTAGGAAGGTTGGATACATGATTTCCGGTGTATTGCCTGGTTGTATTAAAATATAATAATGTCATATGACGAGGTAGCTTTTAGCACAACACATCAAATTGAGGATAGTACCAACAAGTAGTTGACGAGCAGCAATTAATATTCAGTATTCATGCAAATTAGTCGCCTTATAAGGAATGTACTTACACGCCCATCCTACGTATTTATCTTTATGGTTGGGATCGCGGAAGATGAGTGGGTAGCTGCACAGATCTATATAAAGTCCGTGCTTGGCAAGTCTATACAAAGACGGCTACGCCAGATATTATACGTCTTTTTTTCCTGGATTTACAGAAGTGGGAAGCGGTAGTTGAAAACAGAGGTAGGTAATGTAAATATTTCATTCATTCATTCATCAGCGGTTGCACGTTGAAAGGCGCTCACTCGTATCTGCACTTCAACCACTGCGCTGTTAAACACACCAATAACACCGCAGTCTCCCCGGCATTAATCCCCTAAAAGGTATCCTCTGCTAACAGGCTACATTACAGACACAGGGCATTTGATAAAATACAATTTAATGTATCAGTCTACTTTCCAATTGTCATTAGTTTCGCTTTAATGAGATTGTTAATTGAATAAAAGCGTTTTTTATTACAACGTCTATTTGGGTTTTAAAATTGAGCGACCAATATTTGAAAAAAAAGTCATGGTTTTAAAAGTGCATATATCAAAAACAATCAAGCAATTGAATCAGATCAGTTACATAAATTGTTTTATATTTGGACCACATGAGGATTAAATGTACTCTCCTGATTGTATTACCTTATACACATTTTCAAGTACTGTATAACTTACTATGCTTAGTATGTACGTGAAATCTAAACACTCGAAAAG